TATATATATATATATATATATATATATATATATGCCATACGCCCCATTGCGTATTGCATGTTGGTGCGCCAACGGCCCGGCTGAATTCGCTGAAGATGGACGACCACCATTCAAAAGGGAAAACTCATGCTTTTTGCCTTCGAAAATGGAGCCTGCATAACCCTGCAAACTCCCTCCTAGTATACAGAGATGGCAGGCCTACCAAGTACTTCAAACCCTTCTCATACTCTATCTTTCTTTCTCTGCCAATGCTACCACTCCCTCTCTCTCTCTCTAAACCAGACAACCAATACTGTCACTCCCTCTCTCTCTCTAAACGAGATGACCAATGCTATCAGTCCCTCTCTCTCTCTAAACCAGATGACCAATGCTATCAGTCCCTCTCTCTCTCTAAACCAGACGAGCCATCTTTCCCTCGCTCCCTCTCTAAACCAGAGCCGAAACGATTGCTCCCTCTTGCCATTTTTGTTCTCTCTCTACTCCTCTCATACGCAATCTCTCTCTCTCTCTCTCTCCATTTTTGTCCCTCGCTATCACATACTACAACAGGGAAGCCCTACTAAACTGTCGTCTCTCTCTCTCTCTCATCCAGGCTCAGTTGCGCCTCTTCCTCTCTCTGTGCCTCTCAGATGACAACAGAAGGGAAAGCCCTCTCGCTCGCTGTCATAGAGGTACGAATAACTTGTATTAGATTGTATTAGTACTGTATTTCTGGGTTTTTTGGTTTGAAAACCCTGTGATGGGTTTGTATTTATGGGTTATTGGATTTGCATATGAGAATCCTTACTTTGTATTAGTACTGTATTTATGGGATTTTTGGTTTAAAAACCCTGTGATGGGTTTGTATTTATGGGTTATTGGGTTTGCATATGAGAAATATTAGTTTGTATTAGTATTGTATTTCTAGGTTTTTTGGTTTGAAAACCCTGTGATAGGTTTGTATTTATGGATTATTGGGTTTGTATATGAGAAATTTTATTAGCTTTTGATTGACTCTGCAGAGGTTATGTATTTCATCACCATTCATTGCTCATCCTATTTTTCTTTCCTCAAATTTGAAAATGGCGTTTATGCTTTTCTAGGTACTTGGGTATTCTAAATGGAATCAACCTTGTCGAATCCTGCTACTGATGTATTCTTGCTTACTAATTGTGTCTATCTGATACAATCAAGTGCAATTTATAGATCAAATTGGATGCTTTTTTTATGGAAATAAGTCAAACTTATGTTAATGCATGGAATTATTAATTGGGAAAATATCGCTGTAGACCTCATTTTCAACTGTCATTTCTCCATTGACCCAAGGTTGCGAAACCTTTCTTACTACATAAAAATTCACTCTATTATATCGCCTAACCCCCTAAACATATTTTATTTAGTTTTTACTAATATTTTTTACCCAAACAAATTTAGAAAAGGCATTGTTTCTAAATCCCTCTCTTGCCATGATTCCCTTTCTCTCTCCCCCGATCAACCTCCCAAACCCACGCTAACTTTCAAACATGATTCACCCTCAGGTATACTCTGAAGCACAGGCCTCCAGCCCCTGTGTTTATCACCATTTGTGTTCATGGGCAGCTCAATCATCTGATCAACGGACATGCCATGAAGCTCCATCTTTCCCAAGAGCTCCTCATGCCGTTTCTTACTGATCCTTATCTTCACCTCTTTAGAGTCCCCACCATCTTCTCTCTAGAACCTATTTTGCTCTCTCTCTCTGCCCAAACACTCTCTCTCTCTCTACTGAAACCCCAAACTCTCATAAAACCGATGACTAATTCCTCTATATAGAAGCAAGATGGCATCATTAAGCATTCCCTCCTTGCAATGCCAGCTTATCAATGTATTATATGTAACAGTATCAGGTTTTATTCCTTCGGCTTGTAGCCTCTCAAAGAGATTCAAGGCCTCTCCTATCCTCCCAGATTTTCAACATTTATCAGGCTATTATAAGTTACAATATTAGGCATACAACCACGATGGAGCATTTCCTTTAGAAGCTCGAGACCAGATTGAATATTCCCAGTTTTATATATGCCATTTATCAGAATGTTCTAAGAAATGTTATTTGGAGCAACTCATCTTCTCACCATATCTTCAAACAAACCCAAGGCCCTCTCAATCACCCCTTCTGTGCATAATCCCTTAATAAAAGAATTATAAGTGATAACATCAAGGGAATTTCCTCTGAATATCATTTCATTCACAAGGTTTTGAGCCTCTTCTATAGAACCTCTTCTCAGTAGGGCACCAATTAGGGTATTGTAAGTTGTGTTGCTAGGTATTAAACCATGTACTAACAAGTCCCGACAGACCTCGAAAGCCTCCTCTAACCTATCATCCTGGCATAGACCATCGATCAAAGAATTGAAAGTGAATATATCAGGTTTGCAACCTTCTTGTGACATTCTATCAAAAAGTCGCATTGCCTGATTGATTCTTTGGTCCTTGCAAAGAGCATGTATAATGCAATTGTAACATACAACATTCAAACTGATTCCTTGAGTTGATATTTCCTCTACGACCTCAAACGCTTCCTCTAATCTCCTTGCTTTACATAACCCATCTACCAAGATAGTGTAAATTACCACATTGGGCATGCAACCGTTCATCAACATCTCATCTAGTAATCTTCTCGCCGACCCCACATTGCCCATCTTGCAAAGAGCATCCATCATGATACCATACGTATAGACATTAGGCTCACATCCTTTCTTTATCATGTTTTCATGCATCAAAGTCTTGGCCTCACTAAATCTTCCTTCTTTGAGGTAACCATGGATTAAAGTATTATACATAATTACATTGGGGTCAGGCAATTCTCTCAAAAGGGCATTTGCCTCATCGACCATGCCTCTTTTGCAAAACCCATGTATCAAAATCCCATAAGTTAAAGCATTTGGTGTGAACCCACGGATTATCATTCTGTCAACCATTTTAACAGCCTCAACAAACTGACCCTTTTTGCAAAGCCCACCAACAGCATCATTGAAAGTCTCCAAATCAGGCCCACAACCCATTAATAACATCTTATCTAAAAGCTTCACACCCTCCTTGACATTACCCTCCTTCACAAAAGCATGAATAATGTCTGATAAATCACAGAATTTGGCACGCAACCGTGCTTTGTCATTTCTCTAAGCAAAGCACAAGCATTTCCAGCCTGCTTCGTCAAACAAAGCGCTTTCATGGATATGATAAGGGTCTATAGGAGGAAAGTAGATCATGTGAGGGAAAGGGGCTTGTATATTCATGGGATGGAAATTATTGAGTTTGCATGATCTAGAGAGAGATTAACTTGGGGAGAGAGAAAGACGTATAGATACAGAGAGATACGTGGGTTGGAGAGAGAGAGAGAGACATGGGTTGTAGAGAGAGATTTTCTTTTATTTTTTTATTTTGTATTTAAGAGGGTTGACAACCCAATTAGAAGGGACTGGAACATTTTTGTAGAGAATTTGTTTATGAATGAAGAAGATAACTTTTTCTCCATAACTTGATTTACAGCCATATTTTCCCCTCAATTATTGTTGAATTTTTGCTTCTTTAAGATCAGAAGAAGACCGGATTTCAAAATACCATTACGATTGGTACTGCCCCTTATTTCAAAATACCAACTCTTATTTACAATGCAGCAGAGTCTCTGGGAAAGTAGGCATACATTACTAACCATGCTGGTATTTTTATTTTGGGATGCTCATTTTGTGCACGCTCACGCGTGTGTGTGTGTGAGAGAGAGAGAGAGTTGGGTGAGGGGGTCTGGCAAGGAGGGGGAGAGGTCATATTCAAGAGACCTCTTTAGACACACTATGTTGAGGAAGTTTTGTACACCTTTACTGATATGCAAATTATTTCTGGTTGGTAGGAAGAGCTTTGGATCAAAGCTTGATATCATCCCTTTAGCTGATTCTGTTACTAAATTACCAGCTGGCTGTGAGCTCTGTGGCAAGAAGGTTTTTTTCACGCTATGAAAGACTGGAGATACACAAAAGGAGCTAATTGGTGGTGCCGATATCTATATGCCAGTTTGTGGGCAGCATTATGTGAGTGACCAAGTTGTTATTGAAGCTGCTAGAAATGTCCTGGAATCTCAACAGATTCAAGAGGATGTTTATCTAGAGGCAGATCCACTATCAAGTCAGCTTGTTCCCTGTTGACTCCAAGTTCCTTGATTCCTTCCAAAATATGGGTTGAATCTTGTTTTATTGTCTTGGTGTTTATAATTTGGTGATCAATATTGTTTTCCTGTTTTACTTATTTAGTTTTGTGTGCCCTCAATGTACATAAAGTGGGTCTGTTAAATCCTCGATTTATGCTCGAGACTTCGAATTCAAATCTGTAGCTCTTTTCTGCTTTAAATGAGTGTAACTGTGTTGTAACTCAAAAAGCATCTTAGGGCTATTTGTTTGACCCTAAATGTTTTAATAGACTCTTTTCATTCTAATGAACAATCACAAAAAAGGGGAAAATTTGAAAATATAAACTAAAAAGTGTTTTTTAGTCTAACTAATAGAGGCTGTCTATTTTAGTGAGATGTTTAGATCTAAGCTTTGGAAGGATCTTTTTCCTTTTTAATTTTTTTAAATAGCTTTAGGCTAATAATATTCAAAAAGAAAAAATTGGTCTTGAATTCATAAAAGGGAAAAGTTTATATAGAGCCGGGGCTCTAAACAATCAAATTTGAGCCTACCTTAAAAATTTCACTAGAAGAGTTGTTTTTGGACCATCAATTTTCAAGATTTTTAAGTTTTCATAGAGATGTTGATCTACACTATGTTTGAAGCTTTAAACTTTATAAATAAATATAAAAGTGTATTTTAAGGCTATCACAAAGATTTCCAACATTGAAACCACATTTCTTGATACGATTTGAAGGTCAGGCTCTAATTGATTGTTTAGAACCTAGGTCTAATTGATTGTTTAGAGCCTAGGCTCTATACAAATCGTACTTTTTATAAAAAGTCTTAAATCTATTTTGAAGTTCACCAAATGGATGGTCTAGATTTATTATCAGAAGGAACTCACTTTAATTATATCTATGGTGCAAATCGAATTTTATTTTATTTGGATTGATTATTGGGATGAAGAGAGTATGTGAAATTTGGGGTCACACAAATATGGTTTTTTAGATGTATGGTTTTATTATATTATAATAATATAGTGACATATATATATATATATATATATATATATATATATATATATATATGGGGTGCAGTTTGCATACGGATACATCCGTAGGTGTAGAGGTAAGGGGCACCTTCAAATTTTATCATGGTATAGAATTTTGATGTAAAATGTTCTTAGGATTATCTCAAAATCAATTTTTATATCTAATTATAAAATTTCAAATTTAAAAATGGTTAAAATTAAGTAGATCTACAAACATATGAAAATCTTGAAAATGGACGGTGTAGATAATATGTTGTAAAATGTACTATTTTTTAGACTTAAAATCTTTTTATTTTTCATACTCATACATCTCGATGTTGAGATGATCAATCAAATAGTTTTTCAACATTAAAACTATCTTTTCCGATGGATTTTTGTGGGGCATCCGTAGTTCTACATTATAAGGTACCATCCTAATATAAACTTTTTCCTATAGTGGATGGGTTGGGGTGCGCCACAAACTTCAATTTTTTTTTTTTTGAACTCTGAGTCTAATGAGCGATTCACTTACAACATCTCAATTTAAGATTTGATGGACAAGAGTGATTGTGATCTTATACTAAGTTTGTGACGGTATTTAATCCATGCCATCAGACGACGCCGAGCCAATGGGCAAAAATACTGTTCATTTTTTGCCCATAGGCGTTTTGTAGTCTCTTCCAATATATATATATATATATATATATTATGATACCATTTATCTTTTGTACAAGGTGGTCACAATTAATCTTAACTAGATGTAAAATTGGGTGGTTACATTTATTTCTTTGACCAAGCTTAAAGTTCAAAAGAAATTTTTACGAACTTTGTAACACACCCAAGTTATCAAATTTTACATCGGATGGTTGTAAGTAATTGTGACCTCCCTGTGCAAGATAAATGATCTCATTGTATACATTCCCTATATATAACAGTGTGATGCCTTAAAAATACATAGGAAAAGTTAGTGATGTTAGGAGTAAATTGGTCATCTTGATCTTGTGATGTATGGATATGAAAAAAAAAATGATTTCATTGTATCTTTGTCCGGCATTGGAGGTGTGTCTTACTTTGATTGTTTAAAGTCGATGTCATGTATTAATTGCGCTCTCTCTCTCTCTTAAACCCTTAAAGATCTTGTGGTATAAGATGGATGGTCTAAATAATATGTTATAAGATGCAGTATTTTTGGAACTTTAAAAGCTTTTTCTTTTTCCTTTAAATTCGTACATACCAAGATGATCAATTTGACAATTTCTCATCACTGGAACTACTTTTTTGATGGGTTTTGAGGGGTATTACCTCTATAATATAAGGTTGATGCCTTTGTGTGTGTGGGGTTGGATCTAGTCAGCTCGCTTCTGTTGGTTTGTTGGACTTTAGATCATACCCGTTGTGTGTGGGTGACTTGGATCCAGTCGGTTCGCCTATCCCGTCCGTTAGATTCGGACCATGCCCAGTCCAGTGTTTTAAGGTATAGACCTAGATCGGACCAGTTTTAGCCCTCCTAGTTGATTTGGATTGTGATCACTCACCGGACCACTAATTGCATATATAGAGGGGGACTTGGATCGCTCACCCATTGAATCCGATATGGACTTTGGATTCCCGATCCAAATCACTAGATCGTACAATTATAAATAGTCGGACCTACCGGAATAAGACACGATCCAAGTGATAGGTCCCAGTCTTCTCAACGCCATATCTCCATTGATCTGACGGTGTTAACCTAAGGTCTATACTAGATCCTTATTTTTCTAATAGACACTAAGATGTCCATAAAATACTCAACATCATCCAAATTAACACCATTTTTCTTCCGAGTGAGTCACCCTGGATTTGAAATGTGCTGAGATCCTCAAAGCCCTAAAACCAATTAATATCACGAACCCAAATCTACCCATATTGGGTTTTCTTTAACATATTCAATATATAGCTGTTAAGATTCTCAAACCACTAGGAATGTAAAAACACCCTCCCTTTCATGAATCATTTTGGGCAATGGCAATTATAGGATGTCGCCAAAATAAAGTACAGAAGGTTGACATAGTATCAATAATATGATAATGCACTGTTAGGGCTGAATCCACTATAATACCAAACTTGGATAGAGTTTTCGTCCTTGGGCCCATAAATAACAACAAATAGAGAGAATTTATATTAAAAAATTCTGGAGCATGTTAAGAGATTACCATGCTTTTGGCATGTTAGATAAATCCATGTACATAGTGCAAAGCAGGTTATTTGAAAAATTGACAAAATGCCTGAGATGGACAGGATTGTGAATCAGACAATTTGGGCTAGAAAACCCCCCGGAATAGGCCAAGTCTACTGTTTTTCCATAATTTTGAAATTTTCTGATTAAAAATTCCCTTGTCTGACTCAGGCTTGCCCTAGTCGGGCTGTGGGGGGACTTAGGCTCGGGATCCCCACCAGTCGCAGGCGAGTCTTGACTTTTTAAACACTGTTGGAGAATAACAATACGACGATGACATATCATAGGTTTATAAGTGGGTAGGTGGTTCATTTTCTACATTTAACATACATTACACATAGCACATGTAGCATGTAAGCAATCTTCCTTAAAAAGTAATTGCAGATGATTACATCTTAATGGAAATCTTGATTTGTCTTCCAATGAGGACTCGGTAAAAGAGGAAGGAGTCAGCAACTAAAGTTTTCTGGTATAAGTGGCATGTCATTCATATTGTAGAAACTTCAGAAATCTTGTTTTTTCAAGTTGAAGTGTCTTGGATATTCTAAAAAGGATGAGGGAGACAGTGCACAATAAAGATAAATTTCAAGAAGAGTCATCAGTAAGAGAGAGCACAACATTTCAAGAAGAGTCATCAGGAAGAGAGAGAGCACAACATTCAAGTGAAAAACACAATGCAAAAGAACTTGATAAAATCACGTGTTGAAATTCTCATACACAAACTGAAAGCACGGTCATGATACAAAGATATATCAATTCCATGGTTGAGCCAGATTCTACCAAAAACCTATGAGAGATGCCAGCCGAATTCACCCATTGGTTGAGCCAGATTCTACCAACAACCCTTGAGAGATGCCAGCCGAATTCACAGCATTTGGGGTAAGGCCTCGTATCTTTCTTGTCAAACCATGCACCCCAGCACTGCAAGCCGATGTAACTATTCGAAAGTGAAAAACATATGAGATCCAAGAACCCCCAATAGCAACTATATACACCAAGTCGCAGGAATCCAACAATGGAACCCTTGAAAGACATCACACCATTATCTTCACAGAATCCAGTTTTGAAACCAATGGAAAATTCAGAAAGAGCTTTGTGTCCCAAAGCCTAACAATTATTTCTTTTCTCTTCCTTTCCTTTTTCCAAAACCAATGTCAATATTGCAACCGTTAGTCTCAATGGATCAGGTGCAGAGGATTTCCTAAGGTGCTTAATCACACAAAAGATTGCACTTTCAATCAAGTGATGGCCACCATCAGTGAGAAAGGCAACTTAACCCCTTACAAACCCCAAGCCAAATGCCAAACAAAACAATGCACAGGATAAGATCTAAAACCAAAACAATGCACACGTTGCGCCGCCAATTTCTTCGAGCCTCTCTCATCCTCATACTCGCGCTCTTCTGCAAAGACATAGCAGGTAACCTACATTGATCAGAATCACAATCTACATCGAGCTTAATTCCCCTATTTTCGACAGATTTCACATGATTCTCACCCCCAGTGTCATTCCTCTCCTTTAATTTCATCTTCTTATCAGACCTGTTAGAACTTCCCAATAATGGATCCTTAGTTGATGTTTGAGAATCCTGGTTTGCCACATGCAGAACAACAGAAGCAGCCGCCTCTACTTGAGGCAAGGCCTCTATGGAAGAAACCAGGTGTCGTAAAGTAGGACCCATTTGTTCATGATAAGAAGGGCTCAAACCCAAAACACCCATCACTCCATTCTTCGAAATTTTCTTGAACTCGTATCTCACCTGTTCTAGGAGCTCTAGAACCCTAGATTTACCGACTGATTCATCTGTAATCGCAAAATAAACAAACCCATCCTCCATTAAGAAACCATAAATTCTTCTACCAATGGTATGGAAATACCAGATATGATAAGGTGGCACCTTTTCTAAGCATAGAGCTGCCTGGTTCTCTATTTGTTTGTCCCCAGAACTAAACTCTGCAACAACCTTATTTCCTTTTGATATACAACAATAGAAAACCAGATATGGAACCGAACCCATTAGTCTCAGATTACAAAATTAACTATTCTCCACCTTTTTGTACCCTGTAACTTCGAAAATGAGCAATCTAAACCAATATTTCAACAACCTTTTGATGAGAACAATAATTTCCAGTATCCCCTATAACTTCAGAATTGGCTAATAAGAAACAATAGCTCAACTAAATCATATCAATTATCGAAAGGAAACAACCATCTTCTATCGAGAATTTCGATATATTAGCCAATATAACAAATCCTTCCAATAATATCAATCCAAGTATGGGAATACCCCATTTGTGGTCTTGTAGACTCTGAAACAAGAAAAGAATCATGTTAACTTGTGTTAGGGTTCTGAGATTCTTTTTGCAAGAACCCAATATTAGTGGATTCGGGTTCTGATTCTTTTGAAATTGGGCATGAAGGCAATCGTGGGTGGTTCTAGTTTCATTATTGCATCAGATGGGATAGATGGGATTTTGAGAATTGATTTTGAAATTCTCATAAAAAAAACCATTTTTTTAGGGATTCTGAAAATACGGCAATAAGAATTTTCTCAAATTTTGTAGAAAAATATTCATTTTCTTTTCATCATTTATCCCAAGAAAACAAAACGATCAAAGAAAATTATGATAATTACAGAGTTTCCAGGTACTGGTATCCATAAAACCCAAAGAAAGAAAGGAATCGCTGAGAAAATTGAAAACGAATTCAATTTCAATTGTTTCTGGATTTACAAAGGTTATACAGATCAGCAAAGGGATTAAGAAAATAGTGAATAGTCCAATCATTTTAGGGTGAAACTTACCTAGATGACAGAAAGCCTCAGCTAATTGGGGCAATGAAATGGAAATCAAAATTAGGGTTTGGAAGAATTCGCAGAAGTACCTGATAATCCGAGCCAAAATGTTTGGAGAAAAATACCACCAAGAGAGGAAGAATAACCAATGACCAAGAGAGAGAGAGAGAGAGAGAGAGAGAGAGAGAGGAGGGAGTACACAAGACGAGAAGAACATATATACACCTCCTACAACAAACAAACGACGTAGAAGGAACGAAAACAAAACTACGACGGACGACGGTAGGTACGAACTAAAACGTAGAAGAAGAAGTAAAGTACGT